CACTAAGCATTCCAGCTCCCCCATTTTACCTTGGACACTACTAGCACTTGCACATAAACATCTATAATTCCCCAGATGTGTTAGGTCTGCAACCTTTCCCTGTCAAGCAGTCAATATTGCTTGTCACCCTCTCAGTGGCCAGTCCTAATCTATTTCCCTCAAGAAGAGTAACAGCTACCTCTTCATCTGTTAGAGATGAGCTATCCTGAACCAGAGACATTTAATCTCCTATTGGCCCAGGCCAACTACTCTGCCACCTTTTTGATTTTAAGCACCGGCAGCCTGGTTCCTTCTTGGGACAATTGGAGGCCATCTCTTTTGTACAAGTTCTGATTGTTCCAAAAAACATCCCAGTGCCTAACAAACTTAAACCCGTCCCAGTGCCTAACAAACCACATTGAGACTCCTAATTTGTGCTTGTCTAGCTGGCCCTGTGCATGGAACAGGCACCACTTCTGAGAAAGCCACCTTGGAGGTCCTGGCATTGCCAATACTAGAGTAAAGCTGGAGTGAGGGATTGTTAAATGCATCTTCATTTCTGTTCTCAGATGAACTTTTGAGTACAGACGGTATAGGGTTTCATAAGCTTGGCATTTCAAGGGGAAACCATATTGCAAATCCATGATAGGAATAGCACATGATTTTATTAATAGCTGCTGTTCCCAAACAGCAGTCCTCTGATTATAAGCAGCAACATCTCATCCAAATATTCAGTTTCAGAGATCTGATTGTGGAGAGACTCAAAGTTTTGTTTTTAACGAAGCATAATTCAGCTTTCATGTGCTGTTGTTTTGATGCCATCTAAGGCTGTCAACTGTAGATTGGGAACTTCCTGGAAATTTGGGAGTGGAGCCTGGAGAGGAAATTTGGGAGGGGAAGAACCTCAGCAGCATATAATGCCAAAGAGTCCACCCTCCTAAGCTGCCATTTTCTCCACAATAATTGATCCCTGTAATCTGGAGGGGAGTTCTAGTTCCTGGAGATCTCCTGGCCACACCTGGGGGTTGGCAGCTGTAAATTGCCATCACAGACATATTTGTGCACAGCATCAGTCTGGTATCCAGTTCATTAGCCATGATCCAGAGAGAGAAAGAAAGCTTGCTCATGAGTAAGATTATTGCTGAAGTTTCCCTTTCTCTAAAACAAGCAAGCCACTATTCTAGTTTAAAAGCAGCTTGCCTCTTGGGAAACAGAAACTGCTGCATGGAAAAGCTTTCTTCAAAAGGAGCTTCAGCTGCACATGCAGTGTCCTTATTCATGTGTAAACAGCTTCTTTGTATTGTGGCCTATTATAACCCTTATCTTTTATTCCCATATTAAATAAGCACACGCACAAAGTGATTACAAAAATGTTATATAGTAGTCGCCGGGAAACTATGTTCCTGCACACATGGGCACAGTAGAGGGGCAAAACTGAAACAACACCATTTTAATCTAAAAATAGTTAACAACAGTACTGTCAATATAAGAGACTATCCACCTTATGGTTAATTAGTTAGTTAATGACTGACTGTGCTGTCTTTCAGCCCCATTTAGGGCCCCGAAGGCAGCACACTACAGTCATAAAACCTTAAAACATCATCACCGTATAACCACAGAGGACACAACAAAACAACAAAAGAGGACATGGCATAGTCACTCAATCACTTCAAAGGCTTTATGGAACACAGAAGGCACCGACCTTACTGCCTGGGGGAGGGATTCCATAACTTGGGGGCAGCAGCTAAAACGGCCCTCCCATAGGTCCTGGGGTTGGACAGGTTGATAAGGGAGGAGGCAGTCCTTCAAATACTGTGATTTTTAACCATTTGGGACTTTCAATGGTTAAAGCCAGCCTTGAATGGAGCCCAGAAGTAAACTGGAAGCCAGTGGAAAATGACATCACACCTCTCTAGGAATTGCCAGAAACTCTATGGTAAAACCATAATGTTTCCAACAGTTCATAGAGCAGACTGGCATCACTTCTGGAGTTTTCCCTGGGAGTGATGTCCACTGCTTTTTAACTTGTTCATTAATGATTTGGAGTTGGGAGTAAGCAGTGAAGTGGCTAAATTTGCGGATGATACAAAGTTGTTCAGGGTGGTGAAAACCAGTGAGGATTGTGAGGCACTCCAAAGGGATCTGTCAAAGATGGGCAAGTGGGCGTCAACATGGCAAATGGGGTTCAATGTGGCCAAGTGCAAGGTGGTGCACATTGGAGCCAAAAATCCTAAATATAAATACACGTTGGTGGGGTCTGAACTGGCTGAGTCTGATCAAGAGAGAGATCTTGGAGTTGTAGTAGATAACTCACTGAAAATGTCGAGACAGTGTGTGACTGCAATAAAGAAGGCAAATGCTATGCTGGGGATTATTAGGAAGGGTATTGAAAACAGATCAGCCAATATCATAATGCCCCTATATAAATCAATGGTGCGACCTCATTTGGAATACTGTGTGCAATTCTGGTCACCACACCTTAAAAGGGATATTATAGCTTTGGGAAAAGTGCAGAAAAGGGCAACTGGAATGATAAAAGGGTTGGAACACTTTCCCTATGAGGAAAGGTTAAGGCGCTTAGGGCTCTTTAGCTTGGAGAAACGACGACTGAGGGGTGACATGATTGAGGTTTATAAGATTATGCATGGGAAAGAGCAGGTAGAGAAAGAGGTACTTTTCTCCCTTTCTCACAATACAAGAACTTGTGGGCACTCCATGAAATTGCTGAGCGGTCGGGTTAGAACGGATAAAAGGAAGTACTTCTTCACCCAAAGAGTGATTAACACTTGGAATTCACTGCCACAGGAAGTGGTGGCGGCTACAAGCATGGGAATTAGATAAGCATATGGAGCAGAGGTCCATCAGTGGCTATTAGCCACAAGGTATAGATAGGGACTCTGGGGCAAGTGATGCTCTGTCATCTTGGTGCTTGGGGGGGTCAACAGTGGGAGGGCTTCTAATGTCCTGGCCCCACTGGTGGACCTCCTGATGGCACTGGTATTTCTGGCCACTGTGTGATACAGAATGTTGGACAGGATGGGCCTTTGGCCTGATCCAACATTGGCATCTCTTATGTTCTTATGTTCTTAAAAGCTGACCAGCACTTTGAAGTGAAACCTGGAAGCAAAATGCCAACCGCTGCAAACTTTTTTCTTCTCCGTTTTTTATTTTGTTTTGTTGTTTGTTATGTTTTCTTATTGTGTGGTTATGCTTAGTTGTTGTGTAATTGAGTAATAAAGTTAAAATATGGAAAGAAAGAAAGAAAGAAAGAAAGAAAGAAAGAAAGAAAGAAAGAAAGAAGGTACTTCTAGCCACTGCAGCAATCTGCTTTTTGAAGTACTGCTCCAGTAAGACAAGATCTTTCCACTGGGATACCCACAGTAAATGACTTGTTTTCTGCCACAGTTAAATAATCCAGAGGTCCGAGAATCCCAGTTTTAGTAGCTGAATGTAGTGAGGTTATTATCTGGGCTGTGTGAGAGATTACCTGATGTTTCTGTTTCCTTCAGTCATACAGAATGGTACAGGATGAGTAACAGAATGGAAAACACAGTGCCCAGTTTTATAGCACCCAGTTTGGCAACAGATTTCTGTAGAAGGCTCAGTTGACATCACAAAATGCAGATTCTTTATGTTGGTACCACAGACCCTGCTGCATGGCTGCCACTTCCCTTGCTTTAAGTACTGTACTTTGAGCGTACAGAATTGCCATTAACCAACACAGACCATAGGTGCATCTAGGTCAGTACTGACTACTCTGCCTGTCTCTATGTCTCCAGGATCTCAGGCAGATAAGATTCTTTCTCAACACATTGTGCTACCAGAAATCCTTCAGCTGGAGCTGTCAGGGAGTGGATCTGGGACCTCCTGCATGCCAAGAATGTGCTCTACCACTGAGCCATGATTCTGGCAGCGACAGCATCCGCAGTCTCGTGTGTCTGTCTGGGCCAGGAGGTCCATGGCTTCCACTAGTTCTGAGACATTCTGGGTTGGCTCCCATTGTTTTGAATGCGAAAGTATTGTTTTTTTTGACCTTGTGGAATAATACCTGGGCCACATGCAATGATCTTCGTAGCAAATTATTCATTTAAAACACAAAAGAATCATCCGCAGAATGTTCAGTGGGCCCTTGATGACCACCCTTAAAGCTCTTGTGAAGTGTATTTGCTGTATGTCTCAAAAGGTGTGTCTTTCCAGGGGTAGATCCTTGTGATGTGACAAAATGATTGGAAGGACTGGGCTCCATCCCAAAGCTGGGAAGAGGGAGTATGAAATCAGTTGGTGGGGGGGATGTGGTTGCTAAGCAGAATGATAGTTTGCAACTGCAGATGCCACATGTGTAGGAGTGTGTGACTTGAGGAATCCATTTTCACATATCTTCTGACACACACAAAGGAAAAACTTTTATGAGTCAGAGGTGAGAAAACTGGCTTGCTGGTGGGACACTTCTGTGCATACCCTTGTATTGCAACTGGAGATGCCAGCCACCAGTACCACACAGAAGGGAATATTTGGAGTGAAGTAACACAGAGTCCTGTAATAAAGGACTCTTGGGCATCCTCGCTCTGGCTGTACTCATGAGTCATATTGACTGACTTTATTCTCAGTCCACCCATTCTCCTACAGACAATAACTTTTCCAGCAATTTGAAAGTAGCATGAAGAGCCATTACAGCCCTTAATAATACACATTCGTTTTTGCTATCTTACTATGATCTCTGGGCAAGCAGATTTTTCAGGTTCAAAACCCAGCAAAACCTGTTTGAACAGAGATTAGACAAGTAAAAAACAATGTATACTTTAGATAACTATGGTTCTATAATAAGCACCTTCCAAAACAAATATCTGTACAGCCTTAGAAATCCAAGTGGGAAGAAAATTGTGTTGGGCTTTAAGGTGCCACTAAACTTGCAAGAAAGGTGCAATAAGGTAATGTTTGTGTGGATCTCTCCCCTGGGAGTGAGCTCTTCTGGGTTCCCTGTTGTGTCTCCTGCTAACTCTCTATGGACTTTCCCCCTGCAGAATGTGAAGGACGATGGTCAGCATGCCTGGAGGCTGAAGCACTTCAAGAAGCCTGCCTACTGCAACTTCTGTCGCACCATGCTTCTGGGGGTCAGGAAGCAAGGCTTGTGCTGCTCCTGTAAGTGTTCTAATATACCACAGACCCACAGCCAGAGGGACTAACTTCTGCCCTCGTTTTGTTGGATTAAGGAAGCTTTGGCTCCTATATGAAGGAATCGGAGCTGTTCATATCTGAATCTGTTCCTAGGATCCAAGCCAAGAATTTTGTGCTCCAGGGAATCCCTCACTTGCCATCCACTGCTAATGTTCTTTAAGACTCAGCTCTCTGTTACGTGAAGATTTTTCATTTCAGAGGATAGTTGTGTTTGTTTACAGTAGAACTAGATTTGAGTCCAGTAGCACCTCAGAGACCAACAAAGGTTTCGGGGTATAAGCTTTCAAGAATTAAAGTTCTGCCCTCACCTGGATAGCCCAGGCAATCTCATCAGATCTCAGAAGCTAAGGAGGGTTGACTCTGGCAAGTACTTGGATGGGAAACTTCCTTGGAATACCAGAGGTGGGAGGCAGGGGCAGGCTTTATTCAGCCACCTCTCTGAATATCCTCCAGGCCCCCAGTAGGGGTTAGTCACCAGAGGTTGCAGTGGCTTCCAGGAGCACTCACACACACACACACACATTTAAAAAATACAAACAAACAAACAAAAGCATCAAAGCTCCCTTCTTCAGGTATCTGACCAAGAGCGTTGCTTCTGCTTAGTTCTTGTGGCCCCTTCTTACACACCCAGGAAAATGTTGATCACCACTTTGGGGTCAGGAAGCAATTTTCCTGGAGGTTTTTTGTCATGTTCTGGGCATGGAACAGTGGTCACTGGGGGGGGGGGGAGGTATTTGTGAATTTCCTGCATTGTGCAGGGGGTTGGACTAGATGACCCTGGAGGTCCCTTCCAGCTCTATGATTCCATGGCTCTCAAAAGCTTATACCATGAAAATCTTGTTGGTCTCTAAGGTTCTATTGGACCCACCCCCCCCCCCCCCAAACTGTGCCCTTCTGTCCTCCCTGGCTAGGCCGGGGATTTGACTGGGGTAAGCTGCCAATCCTCAGTCCCCTCCTCTACTTTCCCCCGGCTCTCTGTCAGCAGGGGTGGGGCTGTCAGGAGCTGCATCTCCCATGGCAACAGTGAAGGTTCTGGTCCTAAGTCTGGGGGCATCTCTTAGACATGGGGGTATACAAGGGCCCACACATGTGGGTGTGCAGTCGTGCTAAGAGGAGCCCAAGAACAGTGAGGAAACATGGGGAAAGAGAACTGCTAACATGAAGATGTGTTTGCATGAATGGACATAACACTTAAGGTCCCTGTAAGTATACTCATGAAGAGAGGGGGAAGAGAGACTAAAGCAACCCAGTGAAAACCTCCAAAGGAAGTTTAGAAAACTAGTAAAGGACCAGAAGTTAAAAACATCAATAGGTATAAACAAAAGTATATATTTACAAGTGGAGACCCGCAAGAAACTTGCGGAATGGTTATCCTGTTCCTCACACCTTTGCTTCCTCCTGTCTCCCTCTACCTCTCTCACACTCTTTTTCCCTTCTGCCCCCCCTTTCTTTTTCTCCTCCAGCTATGGCATTATACTGATCTGTAGTTCCTTCCCTCCTCCAATCCCACCCTCCCCAGGCTCCACCCCACAAATGTCCAGGAATTTCCCAACCTGGAGTTGGCAACACAATTTCCTTCCCACCCAACAGCCAACCTACCTTTATCTGCCTCTCTGTCTGCAACTTTCCATCTCCACACCCCTCCCCCACAGCCTCTACCTAGGAAAATTACAGTTTTTCTCCACAGTGGGGACCAAAACAGCGTACATTATTCTCTCCTACTTTTTATCTGCACAACAACCCAGCTTTCATAGGGTGGCTGCTGATGAACAGTAGCAAGCAGCTGGGCCTCCAGGTGGGACCTGGGGATCCCCTGTAATTCCTGCTCATTTCCAGACTACAGAGATAACTTCCCATGGAGAAAATGGATGCTTTGGAGGGTGGACTCTGTGACATTGTACCCCACTGAGGTCCCTGTCCTCCCCAGGCTCCACCCCCAAATCTCCAGGAGTTTCCCAGCCTGGACCTGGCAACCTTATCCAGAATCCCCTGTCGGTGGCCGGGGGGGACCTGGCAACCCTAAAGTGCTGGCAGGCCTAGGCTTGGCAACCTCTAAGGGGGGCCTGAAGGAAACCCCCCCCAGACTTACAACTGAACTCAAGGCAGCAGAGATCTGTCTCCCTGGAGAAAATGTCTGTTTTAAAAGGTGGACTCTGTGGCATTATACCCAGTTGAGGCCTCTCCCTTCCCCAATCCCACCTCAAAACC